TGGCCCTGAGTACAGAAAGGCTATACCAGCAGAGAACAAACTCTGGTAGGTCCTACCAAGATGGATGGTTCCCTGCATATGCCTGGCGATAGATTGTATGTCTGTCGTCCAAGAATCAGGCCAGTTAAGTTCAGAAAGATTCATCACCAAGACGGCTACAAGGTGATGAATTTTTTGGCCATAGTAACTCCAAAAGACCATTTACTGGGTTCAACAAGGGTTACAATCTGCATCAATGCAGAGAGTACTAACACCAACAAAAACATGCTCAACAGCTCAGAGAATGAGACTTAGCATTGCAAATACAAAAGATTTAGGTCTTTCAGGTGACTGAAAATTCAATATTAGGGAGGAGTGAGATGAGGTTGCTAAAAACTTTTTTTTTCCTAAAGAAAAGAAACCCTAATGGGAACAAAGTCTCCAAGGAGTCCAGATCTTAAAAAGACAGGGACCAAAAAAACAGAAGGGAGAGTACACAAAAGAACCAAAAAAGATCGACACAAACTCACAGCAGGGTATCCAAAGGGTGAGAGCCCATTTACAAGACTCAGTTCTGTCTTCTCCCCCTTCAGTCTTTCTGGCGACTTCTGGGTGGAGCAAAGGTTCTGTCGGAACCCTCAAAAAAACAAGCACTGCTCACATTTACGGTTTTCAGGCTGACAAAGCAGGGTCTTCACAGAAACACTGAAGGAGTTAAATATTGAAGGGAAATAAGAAAGAGGAAAAGATCCCAGACAAGGGGAATGGCATAAATATACACAGACCTGTCTGGCCCAGGCAGAAGGCTCATGTCACTAGTGGAAAGGGGGGGAAAGGTGGGATTTGCAAAGAGACATGCCAGACCGCAGGGGGACCCCCTGTACCAGGAAAATCATAGGTCTGGTTTCCATCCTTAATCTAAAAATAAGTGAAAATCAAGTCTTCATCATGCTTTTGTCCTCAAAAGCTACCTAAACTTTATTATAATACGTTTTATATAATTTCATAATAAAATGTCAGTCAAAAACCATATGAGAAGCAGGTTATTTTTTCAAAGCTGATATATTATTGTCAAAAGTCAAAGGCCTAATTTAATAAACTGTATAACCTTTAGGCAAGAACACAACAGGGACATGGGCATGAGGCTACTTAGGAACTCGGGCTCTACCAGGTTTTCCCAAAACAATACGAAAAGTTCAACCTTCAGGCAACAGTTCTATAACCAGTCAGTTTTCTTTTGTCTCTTTCCAATTCTGTTTGGCCGTTCTCATTTCTCATCCATTAATAGGCATCTTTTTTTCCCATACAGATACCATCAGCTTCTGAAACCTCCTCCTCCCACCTGAATAGATCTACATACAGATACAATAATGCCCAAGACAATCCACCAGAGCATCTTCTGAAAATGACACAATAAAAACTATTTGGATGGCATTATTACTCTCTTTTCTTTTTAAGGAAAATACTTATCTCTTAAAATTTCCTATTTTAGAACCTGAGAAATTTTTTTCTGTAAATTTTAAGCCTTGGCTCTAATGAGGTTTTTGCAGTGCTACTAAATCTTCACAGCAATAACAGTGCTGAAATAAATCTGGTTTGTCATTTCTGACACTTATCTAATCCTGCTTTACTCCCTGAAATCCCATACAAGAAGTTACCTGCCATAGTAATCAGTTAAACAGAAGAAACTCTCTCGATCCTCCTCCTTACGACGTCTGCCTAACTTCCACTGCACTAAGGCATTAAATCCAAGCACTAACTCACTCACATTAAGAACAGACTCTGGAAAATGTACCAAACTGCTTTAATGGACTTATACAGAAAACTACATTTCTTAGGCCAGGGACAAAGCCCAGACCTTCGACTTCACTGGCAAAGAAAAATCCCCAATGAGGAAACGCCTTTTGCCGATGAGAAATGAAGCCAAAGCCAAATGGTCCTATTAAGAGTTTCAAAAGGCATAATTATGACCCATCCTCTCATTTTTTTAGTAAGGTATATTTCTCTAAGAATTACTTGAAGCTATGATGTCATCACGAAAAAGCCAATCTTCATGTGCATAAACAACTCTGATACTCTAAGATTAACTCCTATCAGCATAAATGTAATACAAAAGACAATTATAGAGTAGATAATGCCCAGTAAACAGCTCAGGCTCGCCAACGACCGTCTGTGGTTTTCTTATTTTTTATTATATTATTTTTTTTTTTTTTTTTTGGTTAGGCAATCGAGGTTAAGTGACACGCCCAGGGTCACACAGCTAATAAGTGTTATGTGTCTCAGGCCGTATTTGAACTCGGGTCCTCCTGACTTCAGGGCCAGTGCTCTATCCACCGTGCCGCCTAGCTGCCCCAAACGACCCTCTATAGAACTTCTCAGGATGGGAGTCTACCCATACAAGTTTCACCCTTTCCAAAGCTTCATTTACTTGGCTTTTGCAGATCATAATCTCTCTTCTCCATCTCTTTCTTAAAGAAACACTTCACAGAGTGAGTGAATATAATGATAAAATACAAGGGCTAAAAACAATTAAGATAATTCAATTCACAAGTTTTCCAAGCATCTGCTATACTAGAGCACAGCGTTTGGCACCCAGCGTACAAAGATGGAAACACCACCAAGCCTGACATGTAATGGGGGCAGGCACAAAAGACCTCTACACAAATAACTGAGAGAATAAGCAGGTGTGTTAAATGCAAAGGAAGGTCCAGGGCCAGAAGAAAAGTAAGGAGGGATCTTACAAACCGAAACTGGAAGGGACCCTGAAGATCCCAAGCGGGTCAAGGTCAAAGACCTGGCAAGCAATAGGAGCAATAACAACAGCAGCAATGGCACGCCCCTCCAGAAAGCTAATTTCAAGTCCCCTGCTCTTTCCACTACCCCCAGGCATGACAAGCTCCCACTGGAAGGGTTGAGGGAAGGTTTCATGGAAGACCTACTACCTAACAAGTCCTGCAAGGGGGTTAACAGGCAGAGATGGGGGGAGCAGTGCAGAGAGGGGAAGTTCATCCTCGGATCAGGAATGGCAGAGCCAAGGCATGGGTATGGCAGTGGGCAAGCCAAGGGTGGCCCCACTCCCTCCAGGGTCCGGCAGGGTGTAGCCCGGGCACGCACGTCCCAGGGAAGAGAGCTGTTCCCTTGGGGCAGAGCCCCATATGTTCCCTCCCAGTGCTACCTGGGAGGAGAGTTCTTGGGCCCCCTAAATTCCAGAGTCTCAACCTCTATAGATACAGCCTCAGGTGTACTTCTCTAAGAGCCCCAAGTCCAAGAGTTCAGGCCTCTAGTCTTCTACAGAGAGAAGGGGGAGTTCCTGGGTGTCATAACCAATCCTCCTAGAGAGGGGCTAAAACCACACCAGGGACAGTAAAGAGCCTGGACTTTGCCCTCCCCTACTACTCGGAGTTTCTTGGACAGTTTGTCTAATGGGAAGGCCTAACAATCACAAATATGTTTTCCCTCTGGAGAAGCCCATGCTCTTTGGGTAGTACCATAAGGCTGGATGCCTGTATGGGCCTCTGGTGCAAAAGGGGCGGCTCATCTACTCAGCCACCACAAAAGCGGAGACAGGCTACAGCTCCAAAGCCAGAGGGAGGGCGAGCCTTTTGGGGGGACTTTGACGGAGTCTCCCTTTGGAGAGCACCCACATGCTCGTGAGATTCAACCCTGTGGCCTGACTCGAGGATGAAACCATCTCTGACGGAATCACCTCCTTAGGCTGGGCCTCTAAAAAAATGCATCAGGAACCAGGCCAGTCCATCCGTCCTTTTGGAGCAACGATGTTAAGAACAGCCAATATCAGTGAGGGACGAAGTAAGGATGTATTAACATGAACTATATCTTAAATATAGTTTGAAATTTCCCAAAGGCAGCTCCGAGTATGGACAAAATGAACCAACATGATGTGACTGAGGAGGCTGGCCACTTTCAGACCCAGTCTGTGGAAATCTCAAGTCCAGCGGTCTAAAACAATGAATAATACAGGGCCAGCCTCTAAACCAAGAAGGCCTAGCTAGGGACAGGTGCTTCCTCAGGCCCAGACTGGCTGGGTGATTCTGGGCGACGGAGGTGTTGACTTGCAGTGGTAGAGGGATCCTCCTCAGCCAAACCAGTGAAGTCATGAGTCCACGCCACATCCTAGTTTCTCTGCTTATCACAGTGAACGCAATAAAAACCATGTCAATCAGAAACTACTCAGAAATTCTAACCTGCTAAAGAGGAGGCAGCCATTTGGAATGCTAACCCTTCCCTGAAAATTCAATCCATGACACCGGCATCTCTTCACTATTAAACATACAGGATTTCAGGCTAGTCCTGCACCCTAAGCAATCTGACTTGCACCCAAACAAAACCTCCTCTATCTGCCATCTCCCTCCATTAGCGTGAGCTTTTGCAGAGTACGGCAGCATCCTGCCTTTCTATGTGTAGCCCTGCAAAGGGCTTAGCAAAGTCCTCTGCACGTAAGTACTCAAACGCTTTTTTCATTTGCTCAATATGATAAACTGGACACACATAGAGGTAGAGATCTTTGGGATCAAACCTCCAAAAAATAAATCAGATAAGAACCAAAGAAATCATCCATATGAGAAAAATGATGGCTTAGGGAAAGTACTGAAGTTTCTCCTCATCTCTAGTAGCAGCATATTTAAGCGTTCATAGCTCTGGTAAAGCCCCATTATTGCATCCTTGGCTATTTACACTGTCATGACCTTCACCTTTCCTCCCCTTCTCAGCCCAGCTCCTGAGAAAAAGCTGTCTACACCTGTCATCTCCACTTCCTCTTCTCTCACTCCTTTGTAGTCTGGATTCCAACCTCGTCACTGGACCGAAACTGCTCTCTCCCATGGTCCCAGCAATGTCTGATGGCCACATGTGGTGACCTTTTCTCTGTCCTCCTCCATCTCAGCCCTTGCTGGCCGCTCACTCCTCTTAGAGATGCCTCCCACACTGGCTTCCCCTGTCATTAGTGCCAGACCCTCCGGGTGCTCCCCAGCTCTGGGCTGCTGAGTCGTCGTCTCTCTCACCTGTCATCAACCATCACGAATCCGATGACCATCTCTAGCAGATGCCTTGCATGTCTCCACATCCAGCCCCAGCCTCTGCTCCAGGCTTCCGTTCTGCATCACCAACTGCCTACTGGACATGTCAAACTGCGCGTCCTGGAGACAACTCAAATTCACCATGTCCCAAACAGGACTCCTCATCTCTCCCCTCAACCCTCCTGTTTTCAAGTATCTCCCTGTTTGAATCCATCCTCCATGGAGCTTCCAGAATAAGTGGAATTGTGAAATGCTGAACAAAAAGAACAGAAACCCTCCAGGATGGAGAAGATATGAATATGGGCTCTTCCCACAGGGCCCCTTCTGGCCAGTTCCATGACCCCCTTTGATGCCCCTGCTTCAGATGACGAAAATGTCTTTTCCCCCAAAGCTCACACCAAGGTGTCACCATCCCCAGAACATGAGATTTGAAGTCAGATGGTGTACGTTCCAATCCCGAAGCTGGGTTACCTAAACAAGTTGCTAAATTTCCCTGAGCCTATTTCCCCAAAAATAAAATACAGGACTTTAAATCCTAGGAACCTACAAATGGCAAGGCAGAGAAGGGATTCTTTGTTCCAATGTCTTAACAAGTTTTCACAAAAGCACCTACAGTGATATTTTATCATGACACAGAGGGATCCCTGGATTCTCCCCAGAAAGGCAGCAAAGTAGGTTCATAGGATCAGACTTTAAATTGAAAGGAAGGAAATAAGTGCCTACTATGTGCCAGGCGCTGTGCTGTGCACTTTACAAATATCATCTCATTTGACCCTCATAATAACCTTGAAGGTAAGTGCCATTATCACCCCCATTTTACAGATGAGGAAACAGAGGCAGACGGGTCAAATGACCTGCCCCAAGTCACACAGCTAGGAAGTGTCTGGGGCCAAATTCAAACTCAGATCTCCCTGATTCCAGGCCTGATGCTCTACTGACTGTTCTACCTGGCCAGGGAAAGGACCATATAGTCCAACGCTCTCATTATTCCAATGAAGAAAGTAAGGACCTGTCCAAGGTAGGATCTGAACCCAAACCCACTGACAGACTGGTCCTGGCAGAGGATCAGCCCAGGCTGGTGTGTAAAAGACTCATCACAGGGTGAGGCACAGTCTCTGAGGAAGAGTTTGAAGGATGGGACTTTGGGGACAATCATTTCTGACCAGAGTTTGTCCTCTAATGATGATGCTGACGGTGGGGGAAGGGAGGGAGGAGACACTAAGTCACTGAGTTCTCAGTCCTTACACAAACTTTACCTATTCTCTAAACTGTAAAACCATTAAAAAAAAAAATGTGTTTTTTGATTCCAGAAGAAGCAAATGCAAAGTGAATTATGAATGCAGGTCATCATTCAGATACGGTGTCTGCCCAGGACAGGGAGGGATGGATGGATCTACTCAGTTGGTTTTCCATCTAAATTCAATCAGTCTAGACCAGGAGGGACAAACTACTGCCCAAGGACCCGTTTTTGTACTTCTACAAGTTAAGAATGGTTTTTTGCACTTTTAAGTACAACAAAACTTTATTTCAAAATGTACAAACCATTCCTTAGCTCACTTTGCTATCCTCATCTATGTGGTTTTCCTGTGTGGATGGTTAGGGCAAACTCTTAAGTCAATTTGGATCTAAGTCAGGAAGCTCGAGCTGTTCTAGGGCTGCCTCTGACCGATCCTTCACAAACGCGAACAAACACCGCTGCTCCATGATGGGGCAAACCCCTCTGGTGAGCATCAGGCCACCTGTTTTCACCTCACTTGATATTAACAATCAGAGGGTCACTGAATCTTGCTGGAAGGAAAGCCACTTCTCCCTAAAATAAAGACCTCTCTTCTCAACACCAGCATTCTTCCAGTGGAGCTATGAAGTTTCAAATCCTGTAATCTTTGGAAAAATCAAATGGAGGGTGACCCAAAGAACAACATAGAAATGCATGGAACAATGGAAAACTGAACACAAGTACCAAAGAAAACATTACAGAAATGAATGACTGGAAAAGCTGCTCAGACTATTCGCTGCACCGGCACCCTCAGAAGTTTCAGAGACCAAAAGACAAGCCCCCAGTATGCCAGGTGAAGCCCTGGTGGATGGCTCAGGACACATAGCTAAAGGAGGCAGACAGGCTGAGATGGGCAAGCATCGACCACTGCACCAAACACCCACGTCAAGGAGGTCGCAGGGTACCCAAAGCCCTCTTCATTGATATTTTTTGTCCAAAAACCAAATGTACACACCACTGGAAAGACCGGACAATGGAGAAATTTAAAGAATGGAGCAGCCCATTAGGCTGGGGGTGGGGGGGACCTCTATGGGAGATTCACATAAAGATACGGGAGAAGACGCCCACCACCAAAGAAGACTGCGAACACCAATGGAACTGCAGGACCCTCATCTCACCGATCAACGGGATCCCTTAACAACAACGAGTCACATTTCTATGACACTTAGTCCACAGTATGTTTTCTTCACAACAGCCCTGGGAGTCAGTTTATGGAGTAAGTATCATTGTTCCCACTTTACAGAGAGGGAAACTTACACGCGTAGCAGTCCCCCAGCTGGGACTCAGACACCGGCCCTCCAATAGCCAATCCGATATTATTTCTACTTCAACCCTCAGCTTCCATGTCTTCTACTGCACAGAACCTTTTGGAATTTTACGAACCCTCTTAGAACAAACGAATGTGAGCTAGACTTGTACCTTCTCTAGTCTCTTTCCCTATAATTAAGTATGAAAAATTAGGTGCCGTTTTTCCCATTAAAAGGGTCCACAGAGAAATTTCCAAATTTCCAGCCCACGTTCCTTGGTCTGCCACCAACTTGAACATGGTGGTGCCTTTGTCAAAGGCCTTTCTAGGATCCCAATCTCCTCGAGTATTCCCCGCTGTAACAGTCTAGAAACCCCATCAAAGAATGAGCTGAAGTTAGTCTGGGATGACGGGTTCTGGGTGACCAGCCACAGGCTGGGCACAATCCGAGCTTCCCTCTCTCAGCGCCCGCCAACCACACCATTCCTTTAATAACACATTCTAGAATGCTGCCAGGAAGCTGAGTCCCAACCACCTGTGTATCACCTGAGCAAGAGCAGCTCACTGCAGTTCCAAAATTCTGATTAAAAAAAAGAAGTGAATGCAATCATGAAGAATTAAAATAGGCCAGAAACACATTAAAGATACGGACAGTTCAATCACCCTATTCAATGGATGAGGAAACTGAGGCCTACCACGGTCACGTAACTTGTCAGCAGCAGCCAGTCGACCTCTAGGGCTGTGATTTCACAAACGAAAGCAAAACCTGGCCATTATTTAGATAAGAGCCGCCAGCCTAGCAGGTTATGGACGGTCCCCTCCCGCAAAGAAACGTGCAAAGAAACATGCATCTGATAACTGCAGATGTTGGAAAGACAATAAATGCCAAACGATCACTCCAAACAATCCAGGAAATGGTCACTCAGCAGTCCCACCTGGGACTCCTCAGCTCCTGGGAACTCCCTCTTCCAAAGCAGGGCTGCACCTTGGCTGCCCAGAGAATCAAGAGGTCAAGGGATCTGCCCAGTCACAGAGAGGCCCAACTTGAACCCAGGTCTCGCTGGATCATGTCTCTGGCATCGCCAAGCAGGAGAAAAACTTGAGGGCTAGTTTCTGGACCTGAAGATTTGAAATGGCAGCTACCCTACAGCCCAGAAATTTCCAGGTACCCTCCACACTACAGTAACTCAAAGCTCCTTCCACACAAACCTCTGAGTAGCTATTACAAAAGAGGCTCATCCAAGTGGGAAGGTGTGTTGAACACGGAGTAAACTAATGGGAACAGAATTCAAATCCACGTTCCCTCACTCCAGATCCTCTTGGGTTCCTCCTACTTACTGGAGCAAGTACTTGTAACTTAATAAAAATTTGTAAAGACCTGAGGCCTAATATTTTTCTTTTCATAATGTCTTGGCTAAATATGGTTCTTTTTGGATGACAACCAAAATACTAAGGAAAATACAGTCAGATGAAAAGTCTTTACGTGCCCTCACCTGTTTCTAATTCCTAAAATACTAAAACATGAAAATAATTCAAATAAGAATGCTTTTTTCAGCTTTAGGCTGTTTAATGAGCTCTTAAGATTACAGCAAGCTCTTACATGGAAGAAATCATGTCTTCCTTGTACCATCGAGTGCTTAGAGAATTGTGGGCATTCAATAATACTGCCAACAAATAACCCCCTTTTCTCACTTAGTTTCACTTTTAGTTTTTCTTTGTTTGGGTGAAGAGCTATGATAAACACCTGCAATAAAGTCTCTCAGAGGGGAAATATTTCTTTAAACTGGGTACGAGAAGGCACTTCAATTTTTAAAGTCCACTTGGAAGCCTCTTAAGATTATGAAATTCAATTTGAACCAGTGAGGCCCCTGTATCTCTGGTCTAGGAAAACAGGCACAAAATAATACAATACTATAACAGCCTAACTTTCAGTTCCTGTATTAGACTCTCTTCGATGACTCTTGCAATAGAATTCAGAAGGGGTTTGTTTAGAGTTACTTACTTGTAAAGGACAGGGGCGGACAGTAATTTTCAGAGAAGTAAAGCAGAGCACGGGAAATCTGAGCACGTAAAAAAAATAAAGGGGATTTCGAAGTCAAAGGCCAAAAGTCTTGAAGCAGAGAAAACCTGAAAGCTCCAGATGAAGAAGGTTCAGCACTGAGCTCAGAGGCAGAAATCTAGGCTTCTATTCGCTACACAGCTCCTATGTGTGACCTTGGGAATAGCACTTCTCTCTGGTTTTCACATCTGGGAAATGGGAATGACACCTGGGCACACTGTCCCTGCTTCTCTTGCCCCGGAAATCTGGAGACTCACCCAATTACGCTCCTTGAAATCTTTGGGCAAAAGGTTAAGTACACGGATTTATGATCTTAAAAAAAATTTATTCAACTAGTTATATTAGAGCTTAACAATCTAGTTGCACAGAAATCATAAATTAAAAGGATTTTAGGAATTCACAAGGTGAATTGAGGGGGAAAAGAAACTTGATTTCACTAATAAAGTTTGCAATCTAAGGATTTTTAAATAACTTATTTTATTTCACAGTATCTGTCAAATTTACTTTTTAAAAAAATCAGTCCACAACCTCCTCCTATAATGTTACTGGGCTAAA